TAGGGTTTAGGGTTTAGGGAATCGTGAACTACACGCAGCATGAGAGGCTCTGCAAAAGTGCTCCAGCCCACGGATCTCATGCAGTGCCAGATCTTGTTTTGCCATGGCACTGACTCTCTCGAACTGAAGCCTGAAAACCTAAACCCTAAACCCTAAACCCTAAACCCTAAACCTGAAGCGTGCGCGGTGAAGCCCCTGGGTCTAATATAGGGGCCTAACAAATGATTACCTTGCACTATTTGGTTGGGGGGGTTCCTTATGATAACTATAGTTGAATATGCCCCAGAACCCTGTTCCAATTTGTAAGGCCCCTATATTACGCACATTAGGCTTTGGGATGAAGCTTCATTGAACATAAGTCGAGTGAGTCGATGGCACAAGATTGTGGGCTCGTGACTCAATTGACTTGAGGCTTCAGGCGGTTTAGGGTTTAGGGTTTGGGGGCGGTTTAGGGTTTAGGGGTTGAAGTGTTCAGGGTGAGTAACCCTAAGGGTCCATGTGCCCAAATAGTATATACTTTGGCCCCAAAGTACCTATATAGGGACTACTTTAAGGCCAAAGTATATACTATTTGGGTACATGGACCCTTGGGGTAAGGTTTATTCAGGGTTTGGGTCTTGGGTCCTCCAGGCGGTTACCGGTCTCCCAAACTGAGGTACATGCATTCAACAGTCCTGCTTTGGGAGCTAGGATTAGGGGGACCCTTGGGGATATAGACCCTCTCAATAAGGCCCCCTTCAAAAGAGCCAAAAGTAGGGTTCAGCAGGGGTACCCTTTAAGGGGTACCCCTCAATACTACCTATGCTTGCTGGAGATCCTCGCCCCTGAAATAATCTTTCAACAAGACCTTATGACCATATGCTTTAACATTGCTCTTGAAAGCTCTGCGATACATCAAGCACTACTGCCGCTCCTGAACCCGAAACTTAAAAGCCAAGTCCGAAACCCTTAACCCTGAAACCCTAAACCTTATAAAGCCTAAGACGTCAGCCCTACAAGGGTGGGCTCTTCTCCCTGTAGACACTAAACTCATTAAGCCTCAAACACCAAAACGCTGAAGCTGAAACACTAAACCCTAAAGCCTAAACCATTAAGCCTCCCCTAAAGCAAAAAAACCGTAAACCCTAAACTCAGCCCTAGACCCAAAGCCCTAAACCCTAAACCCCGAACCTGAAACCGTAAACCCTACACCTCACCCCAGCCCTGGACCCTGTCAATCACCAAGGGCACCAAAGCTGGCCTGGAGAGCAGCAAGAAGGCCCGGGTTCGAAGGGGCTCACCCCAGACCCCCAAAAGGATCTAAAAGATAGATCCCCTAATTAGGGACCCTAACTACTAAAGGGTACTTTATAGGAACCCGCTTAGGGGATCGATTTTTTAGATCCTTTTGGGGGTTTGGGACTAAACAAATTAGGGTCCCTTTTGGCCTTTTCGATTTAGGGTTTTGGGGTTTGGGGTTTTGGGCAGTTTAGGGCGTAGGGCCTTTAGTTGAGGGTTTTGGGTTAGGGGTTGAAGGCAGTTTAGGGGTTTAGGGTTCAGGGTTTAAGGTCTAGGGGGTCTACACTTTTTGGTTCTGCAATGTTCTACGTTTAAACGGGGGCTCTGTATGGAGATGCCAGCAAGCTTCATAGGTCTTTTGGTTTTCGGGTGGTTCGTTCAAGGTTGTGAGATTTGTGCGTTTCTGTTGTTCAGAGCTGAATGTGTGAGCCTGCACCCAGAGTCCAGACGACAAAACAAGATTTCCACCGGTAGCCCCCTGAAGGTGGAGTCTGAAGAGCTCCTCCAACCTTAAACCCTTCAGCCCTAAACCCTACACACACCCTTAACCCTTTTAACAAAAAGCTGAGAGCCTGGAGCCTAAACCCTGCACCATTAAAATGCCTGAAGCCCTGGAGCCTAAACCACTTGTGATTCAGGGCTTTGCGGCTTTAGGCTCCAATACGATGCACAGTGCCACGAAGCACAATACATGTATGCGGTCGATGACTATGTCAGTGGTTGAGGGTTTAGGGTTTGGGGTGTAGTCGTTGAGAAAGATTGTCCCGAACAGACTCTCCACCCCACACAAATCCCATCTTCGACATTCCTCAGCCCCAAACCCAGATTTTTGGTGAGGCAACGGCGGTGTGTGACACAAAATCCCTGTATAGTCCCAAGAAGTAATCCTTCGCCAAAGAGGTTTCTGGTCCTCCTGAGTATGTAGTAGTTCAGCACAGAGACTCTAGACCCTCAACCCTCACCCCTAAACCCTAAGCCCTAGTCCCTAAACCTTGCCCCAAGGGTCCAAAGGACCCAATAATCAGGTACTTTGGTTGCGGATAGTAGTTTTCTAGGTTAATATTTGGACCCTTAGGGTTACACCCTAAACACCTAAACACCTAAACCCTTAAGCCCTTAACACCAAACGTTCAACCCTGCCAAAGCCCTTTTTCAGGATGCCGAGACTGCCCATGCCGAGAAACATGCATCAAAGCAGGCCGTTTCGAGTGGTGCGCTGGGTGAGTTTTTTTTTTGAAGGGTTCTACAAGGGTCCTGTAACGGTTTTGCAAGGCTTACGGTTAAGGGTGTACTATACAAGCCTACAAATTATTGGTATTCTTCCCTATGGTTTAGGGTTTAGGGCAAAGTGGCCCTAAACCCTAAACCCTAAACCCTAAACCCTGTTCCCTAAACTGAACACATATTGATATTCTTCCTGAGGGCTCCTTAGGTATACTCACGCGCCCAAACACATCCTGTGCTAGATGTTCAGGATCCCATCGAGGTCCGTGTGCCTTCATCGCACAAATGGGGGTTAAGGGTTTAGGGCATTAGTATCAGTGTTGGGGGTTTAGGGCTTTTAGCACTTTAGGGTTTAGGGTTTAGGGGAGTCCATGTGCTTTTATTTATAGTGTGCTTAGGCCCTACATAGGAGGGTTTAGGATTTAGCGCTCCGGGGCAAAGTATTTGCTGTACCGGTACATGGAGGCTGTGCAGACTCCACCTTTCGAAAAAGATGTCTAGCGAAGCCCCTTCAGAAAATGACATTCAAGAGTTGAGATGTTACTGTTGATGAAATAAATCCTGCATTATCCATATATAAGTAGTATACCGTAATTCCCATAGTTTGGGGTTCCTTAAGGTAATGCAGGATTTATATTATCAACCATACCCAAGCAGAGCCCGTAGTGACCATGGGCTCTATTTCGCAAAGGTAGCTTACCCTGAGGGTCCATGTACCCAAGTAGTATAAACATGGGCCCCAAAGTACTTATATAGGGACTACTTTAAGGCCAAAGTATATCTATTTGGGCACATGGACCCTTAAGGTTACATACCTGAGAAGCATCCTCCGCCTCAGAAGCTTCAAAACGACCACCTCAGGGCCCCCAGAATTCACAAAACCCAAAAGGGGGTTGCTGGGGTTTTGTAGTATAGGGGCCTTCATAATTAGAATAGGGCTTGGGGTTATGTTATGTTATAAGTATCATAAGGAGCCCCCCAAAATCCTATTCTAATTATTAAGGCTCCTATATACATGAGGTTTTGTTTCGGGGTCCTTTTAGAAAGCAAGGATACCTCTCGGGGCTCCTTACGCTGCATGGCGCAGGAGATGGAAGCCGTGAAGGCTGAGCACGAGGCGGCCAAGGAGGACACCTCTCGATTCCCTTAAAGGGTTTAGGGTTTAGGGTTTGGGGTTTAGAGTTTAGGGTTTAGGGTTTAGGGTCTAGGGTTAAAACCCTTCTTCCCCAACCAAAGCCGGTGTCGAAGCCAAAGGACGTGATGATTGGGTTGGTTTTAGGATATAGGTAGTCTTGCAAGTTAGTATTTGGTAGGGTATATCTAAACCATAAACCCTAAACCCTAAACCCTAAACCCCTAAACCCTAAAATTTTGGCACTGCCCCACCCCACTAACAGTCGGATAATTGTTCCCCTATTAAAAACCCAACCCAGGAAAAGCACAACAC